ACTCTTTCCTGCCCAGGGCAGGGGGTCGGACTTGATGATTTAATAGGTCACATCCAACCCTAAAATCTATAAATCTATGAGGCTGGAGAGCTGGGCTGGAGGTGAGGTGCACAAGCAAGGGTGCACCAGGTAATCAGCCTTGCCCCTGCCTTCAGGCTCTGGGGGTGCCTGTAGATATGTGGGGATGCTACTCCAACACGCTGTAGTTACAGCACATCAGAGGAGACTCAAGTTGAGTCTGCTGGAGCATGATAATTACTGTGCTACAGCTGCATCTTGTATATTCAGTGTCCCTACACTTCAAAATAGCTGTGGGGGTGCTTTAACTAAAGCTCGTTGAACAAGCTTTAGTAAAATCTTGCTCACCACCATTTAAAAGTGTGGGACACTGGATGCACAAGATGCTGCAAACGCTTTAATTAGGGAAGCTCTTGGAGCTGCTGTAATTAAAGCGCCCCCCCATGTGTAAAGGCATCCTGGGTTATTAGTCTGGTACCTGTCATGCACATGGAATTCAAGCACAAGATGATGCTCAGAAACAGCAGAACCCCTCCCCTCTTCACCTCCTGACCATGGATTTCACACTGGGGCTGCTGATGTTGGGAGCAGAGCCTAGATGTCTGGACTCATTGTCCATTAGTCTTCATTTTTCTTACTTGCTGTTGGTTGCCCTCCCTATAATTATTTGAGTGGTGAAATCTGAAGCTCAGCTGTCATTGGCACAGAGCTTTAAAGGTCTGCATTAGCACTTGGCTAGCCAGAAGTCAGAAGCCTGGGAACATAGATGAAGGCACTTAAACTAGCCTCCTCTCTCATACTGTCAGCAACCCTAGAACCAAGTTGTAGAGCTGTCTTTGGGCCCTATTTAGGGGGCTGTTTTACCCACAGGTGCAGCTGTAACATCACCATGCACACCAGGCCATGCAGTAGTTAGATTTCTGGGGGCATCATGTGGAATAATGCCTGGCATGCTATTGCTTTTATGAGCAGACTCTCTAATGGCACTTCCCATTGTGTGTGCAATGACATAGCTACCCTCTAAAAGTATGGGGGCACCATGGGCAAGGTGCAGTACACTAGCTAGGCTGCATGCACACTTTTAGTCATGTGTGTGGGGCGGGCTCTCACAGCTTCATAATGATGAGCAGGGGCAGGAACAACAAAGGGTGAATGCACTAAACCAATGTCACTAACATGGCACAGTTTCACTGCTGGGGTGTGTGTACATGTCTGGGCGGGGGGCGGTTAGGTTAGAGGCGGTGTTGGCGTGATTGAGGCAGACTGATGTCTGGTAGCATATCCTGCCCTGGGGATTACAGCCATGGGTAGAGAGGCATTGACTGTTTTCCTTTGAATGGCCTCTTTTTCCACCTAGGCAGAATCATTGCAATGGGCAGAGGGCCTAGTGAAGGACCTGAGGCCAAGGGTACTCATGGCATCTTGGGTTGTCTCTTCAAAATCTTGGGCTTGTCCAGGTGGGTGGAATGCTGTAGATCAGCGGTGGGCAATGTTCTTGGGCACAGTGCCAAGAAAACTGCAAGATCTGCTTGTAAGATGTTGGCAGGCCAGGTAAACAAAACAGAAGTGTGTGTGTGTAGGGGGGAGGGGGGTACTTGCCTGGATGCACTGCATATTATTCAAGTTAAAAATCATACATGTTGTTTTTTTACAGTAAATAACCACATTTTCAAAAATATAAAAACCATCTGGTGACAATTAATAAAACGTCATGTACTACAAAACAAAGAGAAGCACAGATGCAGTGACTGAACTAAAGATGCTAATCAACACAGATGCTATATATTCACAGTCATAAAGCTACATGAGCCAAAACGATTAACATCCATAACTTCGAATGGAGATTGAACTCCTAGCGTCTGTGCCCCAAACTCTGGAACCCTCTTTCTTACAATATCAGACATGCTACCTCCCTTACAATTTTTATAGCTAAATTAAATATATTTTAAACAAGGTTTTGAATGGATTTATATAATGTATTTCTGTATTATGTGTCTTGCTTTTTACCACTGAATTGTTTTAGCTAAAATGTATTGTTTTAATTGCACTTTTTTGGTGTTGTTCTGTTTTCTTTTAACTTTGTTAAGTACATTAGGATGTCACTTTGATGTGAATTGTGCTCTATAAATACAAACAATAA